ATTACTACCCGAATTTCGCACTCAAGACGTGGACAACGACGCATTGGTTCTAAGACTGCTCGAGCCATGTGTCACATTATCACTTTCAACAGCATTTGATCCGTGAGCATCCCTGGTGTCAAGTAGTAATTTGTACAGAAGTAAAACTTGTGGATTCTGTGGTTATATTCATAAAAAGCTAGGTGGATCTAAGGTGTTTAATGTAAAACAAACCCTGATAGAGATATTAATGGCGCTCGCAATATCTTACAAAAAAGGAGTCAGCTTAGGCTGACGCGGGAGCCTATTCCCTGACAGAACTTGTTATTCCTAATTTAAACTTTGCTTAATATTAATATTAATGTGGAGTTTTATTAGGAATGATAGGTTTTAATGTAGGTCGTAATGACGTTGAACTAAAAAAATAGATCTACAGAATATACTTTTACACTTTTGGTTAAGTATATGGCAACGTGGCCGAGTTGGTCTAAGGCGCCAGGTTCAGGTCCTGGTCCACGTCAGTGGGCGTGAGTTCAAATCTCACCGTTGTCACACGAACCCCAGTCGCGAATATCAAGCCGCATTGGGTATGTTTTTTAGTAAAAAGCGAAATTACAAAATATAAGTTAATCCTTGTCTGCAACGTAACAACACCGCAGTTGTATGGTCATTGTCGTACAGAAGCGTGTATTGTAATATTAGCTTGCCGTATCTCCGACTCGCGTCTCGTGACAGTTGATGCCACGTGTTCGGACGTGTGATTTCATGTCAAAAACACAATCCTTTGAATCATTTTCTTCGAACCTCCTTCCACCAAGAAACAAATCGCACGGAGACAGACTTTACTGTAACAGGAGCGACAGACGCGAATGCTGTTGTAACGGCTATGCTTGTATGATATACATTCTTCAAGCTCCAAATGCTTATTATAATGCTTATTATCTAACATGATCAATTCCTATATTTCTTCTAAAGCTGATCCTTATGAGAGTATTCTTTGTCAACTGCACCAACATGTCTTTTGTTGATAACTTACTTATCCTTGCCAGCTACCACAATTAAAGGTGAATTATCACCCACATGCATGTGACAAAAATTGATAATATTCTTGGCTTTTTACCCTGCTCCGGTGAGTAAACATAAATGTATATTAATGTAGTTTTTCTGAGGTAAATAAATTCGTTTCAATTTTCTGATTAACCTCATAATAGGGTTTATAGCCTATAGTAATTCTTGCTGACATTAAATGCCGGACAATATCATTTTGGCTGTTTTAATTTCTCTTCTCATAGCGGGTATTCTTGTACCTATAGATGGCAATACTCGACTTTTCTAGTAGTTTTAAGTATGCTTATATGTTAATAACGATTAAGGTAGTAAATAATTACAACCAACACGGAGGAATTGTACACTTTTACCTTTATCAGAACATTTTGGAGATTATTAAGCAGCGAGCGTAATACGAAATTAAAGTTACTCTTAATTATACGAATAAATTGTACAACAGTAAATCTTGTTTATGACGTTGACCGCGGATAATTTTGCTGACAGTTTTGCGCAGAGTGGTAGGCTGTTTTAATTAGAGAAAGTTTTTTGTTTGTTATTAGAGCAACGCAAACACACAGACAAAAATATTGTACGCCTTTTTTTTTAAGATACAATATTATTTACTTAAAAGGAAATGTCATGGCGGTTACTTTCTTTTATGGTCATGTTTTGCTGGTTCGTGGTAATAATCAGTTGAACAGTTGTGCAATGGCATCTTGTCATTTTTGCAATGTTGTATTCTCGTGGCTACGTAATTATGAAGAATAAGTTCTCGCGACGTAAACTAAATTTTCATTACATATGAAAATAATGCATTTGTTATATTGTAATTAGAGAAATACTGATCAAAAATCCAGTGGGATTATTCGGAGACTACCAGGACAACGAAGACAGTCGGATGGTCATAATGAGAAAAAAAAATATTCAAAGGTGATTTAGAAAAGTTGTCGAGACAAGATATTCAAAGTTAAAGAGTTTTTTTATATCACCAGTAAAGTTACAATCCAACAGCTCGTACAAACGCCATAAAACGGAAATACTATGAGGTGATCAACCTAGGAAAGGAATCGCTTTACCTTTTACCCAGCTGTCCTTAAGATACTACGTGCATGTTTAACTGTCATTAATGTGAAGTTCCGGAACTGATAGATTTTTTTTTCTACTGAAGCTGAATTAAGACCGAAGATATTCCGAGATACTTAAAGACAATACTAGAGAAGCAGGTTAACAAGAATTTAAATCTGCTGGAATTAAGCTTCTCAGAAAAACTCGTAATTCATGCCTAGATCAGATCGACTTATGGTACTTCTGACGGAAATTTAATTTTGTGCCAGACGTGCAGACATGTTATGACCACGGATTCATCTATTAAACAGTTGACTTCACCTTTATGGGATCGCTTGGCGATCGAGCTTTCCAACTAATTCTGTCAGTCGCGTTTATTCTGCACAGGTAGATTAATTAGCAACTGTTCGATGGACTACTAACACTGGGTGATCATACTGTTTTTTTCAATTGGCATGTCATTAATCATTCAAGGGTTTGAACCCACCACGCCTATTTCGAGAGTCGCCACATTATGAAGTGCGGTTAAATTATTACGCAGATCGTACAATGAGAAATATTTGGTGCATACGTTGCTTTCGATTTAACGTTTAACAAACCGAATTGGATTCCTTGATGTGTAATCCATGTAGCGCGGGAGCAATCCCATAGAGTTGAATTTAGAAAATGGACGCAAGCTAGCCATTGACGATAGACTAGTCGATACCAGACTGTATCTCAACCTAAACGAATCCATATGACCAACGCAACACCATGGCTTACTTAATAAACAGTAAAGCGAAGATATCTATAAAATATAGTCATTAACCTAGTAAGAAACGAGATGTCGTTTCTCGACAGACGGCTACCTTACTTTATTAATTGCATAGCAGAATAATTAACTCACAGCATAAATTCTTTGCTACGTTGTCTTGAATCAAGTCCAGTAGCAAACTTTTAAACATCTGGTATATCAACAAACAAAACTTATTTGGAAGAGGATGGTTTGGCATTTGCCATAAGTGAAATCTTCATTTGCATTACTTCAATCGTGGCTATAATTAATAATAGTAGTGAGTTAGCATCAACGAACAAATAATCCGTGGAGCTCCAGGTACATTCCTTAACCATATTGTGATAAGCACCTTGTAAATTGTTCTGCTTTATTGTTATTGTCTGATCCAGAGTCTCGAGATTTTTCTTCACATAGTCAACCTTTTCGACGTAAAACTTTATTGCATCTGGGATATCCTATATATACAAATGCAGGTGTCAATCATTTCCCAGAATGATGATTTCACCAGCGAGATTTTCAAAGAATACCTTCTCGATGTAGTAACCAGTCCCAACATCAACAATGACTTTCTCAATGTCTGCCAATTCACCAGGAACATACAAGTAATTAAATCGAACAACATGTTAAAGATACATAACACCTGATAACTTGCAAACATATAAAACGATACACATAAAATAGGATATAGATTCGGTCAATGGAACAAGAATCCCTTTCCCGGGTTTGCTGTCACGAATCTCTCCAACGGACTCGATGCAGTCTTGAAAACGATTCTGGGCTTGTTTGAGTTGACCATAAGATGTAGATAAATGTGCCAATTCCTATGCAATTTTGTACGAAATGCCCATTATATCATGACCTAATGCAATTTTTTATGAATATTTCCTCGTATCTACTCTTATCCATTACCTCTGGATCTATCCAACTAACTTACCGCCTCGAGTTGTTTTTTCACATCGATAAGTTGCGGTATCTCTAAGTCAGTCAACTCTATAGTTTTGGAGGAAGACATATCAAGCTTTGCGGGGTTAAGTAGGTGAATTTTACTCTGCTATCGAGATTGTCATATTTCACGTGATTTTACGTCGCGATGATGTCACCATAAGATCTCGTGATTACAATACATATTTCTCGTATATTGACTAGAGAACAAGTTGACCATAATTGAGCTGTTCACATTAATCATTTTCCCTAGATACAATCATCCCTCATTTGTAACCCCTTCATTTATTTCCCATCCTCGTATATAACCCAGCTTTGATGCTGGACGGATTTTCTCTATTGTATTTCAATATAAATTTCCCTCAATACCAATTTCCTTATCTATAGAATTTATTATGATTTAGATTACCGATCCTTCCGAATTTAAGCACCACTTTTTTTTAGGGGAAAATCGGGACAAAATTCCTAGTGGTGCTTAAATTCGGAAGTTTTTTTTTGTACGGCATACCCCTTATTCCGCATCTTTTCTTTACGCAATGCCAAAAATTCAACGCTCATCATATTCTGCTGTTGAAAAGCTTAAAGTTTTGCAATATGCAGAACTTTATGGTATAAGAGTAGCTGCTCGTCATTTTAATATTGATCATT